TTTTTTTTTTTTTTTTTCTTTTTTGATACACATTGACAAGATTGACAGACACAAGACTGTTAGTTCATAATATGCAGGCATTTATCTGCTGTGGACACACTGTCCTGAAGGACAACAAAATATGTATTTCTATAGAAGGCATATTTCTTTTTTCTATGTGCCAAAGTACTTCCTTTTCCAGGTGTTTGTGTTGAATTTTGTTACAATGGCAGGCCACTGTTAGTAAATCTATCTATGATTTTGAATAGTGATCATATGTAACAAGATAACATAAAAATCATATCATGAAATAAACAGTTTCAACTATCTCCACTATATGTATTACCACACAAAGAAATTGATTTCTTATTGTGCTTGGTTAAAACTATGGATTCAGCATCAGTATTACTTAAAATGTTCATTCGTAATACATGAAGTAAATCTATGGATTTCTGCATTGATTAAACTGCAATGCTCGACAAAGGGAAGCTCTATGGTTGTGAACTAAGTGAGGAGATTATTGAAACCAGAAAAAGCAGAGTCCAATGATTCATTGTGTTCTTATCATGATATTTAATATTCTGCAAATTTCTTTTGTCTGAGGTGATTGTTAGGTCTCGTGTAGGGATCCAAAATTAATGTGAGTGATCTTATCTTCCATGTGCTTGGCATTTCATTAGCGTCTGCTTTTGTCATCTTGCGTGTGTTTGTCTTCGGAGGGGTGCAAGTACCACTAGAAGAGTGGGTGAGAGCGTAAAGTAATCCTGAATTGTAGAAAAGAGAATAAATCTATGGACATTAAGGAGAACGATTGCTACTTTTCCTTTTCCATGGAAATCTTAATATCGATATTTTTGTTATAATATATGATAATAAAGTCAAATCTTCTTTCACAACTTCCCGTGACTGCTCACATTGAAAACCCAGATTACTTAAAACTATAGAAATTGTCATACCAACCTCTTTCTCGGAATCTATGTTTATCTCTGCGTGAATGTGTAATTTCAGTGGATTAGGACGGGGAGGAATCGTTTTCAGTCTAAATGGATTGTCTTTGAATTGTGAAGTTTCAAACCTTTCTCAAATTTCATGGAGAATGCTCAGCTGCGACACTTTTGTTATTTTCTTTGTTGATTTCCCCCTGGCAGGACCTCTCTATTTTGGCAGATAGATGATAGAGGCTGAAAACTGATCCTTTATTCTCTGTTCATAAACTGAATACTGGTTTACTTTACTACCAAAATAAAAATGAATACGTAAATAATGAAGAATTATTTTTCAAATCGAATGCAATGTGTGTTTTTACCACTATGTTGGTGTATTATTGGTCTTTCAACTCAATTTACTTCATTTCACTCTCACAGGGTGTAAACATTCTCTGTGGAGAGTATTCGTCTGGATCAATATATGATCTAAGACTTTAGCAATGCTAGAACTGGTTGCCATTGTAAAATATCTGTTAATTTTGGTGTTGCTCAATGTCCGTTATTGATCCTCCAATTGATTCTTTCCTCTCCTTTTATTTTGTAGATTGATGTCAACGATGTGATTGGGATGGTGGAAAAGCGTATTGTATTAGATTATAAACAGCAAAAGGTCTCTCTCTCTCTCTCTCTCTCTCTCTCTCTCTCTCACCTAATAGTTCTCTTAGATTATGTGCAGACATTTATATTATGCCATAGTACGTGGTGAGCTTTTTCTTTAGGTGACAGTGACTCAAATATTACACGGCTGTGTCTCAGTCTTTCAAAATTAGTCACTTGTTGAAATATGGTTTTTGGGCAGTGTTTGAGCATTATTATCTCCCAGTTGTGGAAAGAAGACAGTTGAGTTTATTGCTACCGTCTTCCCTCATATTTTCTTGCCCTTCTCTCTCTCTCTCTCTCTCTCTCTCTCTCTCTCTCTCTCTCTCTCTCTCTCTCTCTTTCCCCCCACTTAATAATTGTTAAGAGAGAAACTTGGATCTATGTGGCAAGTATGGCACTTCTGAGATGAAAATTGGTGTATATATACCCATTACTTTTGGGTTGCACATCCAAATTGAGCATATACTAGTTGGGAACAGCAATTAAAAATATATTGATTGCAACTTATCCTAAAGATTGATAGTTCAGAAATTGAGATGCACAGTTTCTGGATAATGTTTTCATACATCAGCTAGTTTTTTTTTTTT